TGGCGAAACATGTGCCATGTGCAGGCGTGGAATCCGCCCCGTTGTATCCGATCCTTTCTGCCATTTTTCAATTAATCGTCCGATTTCGCGAAATGGCTCATCTTTCGAGTCGATGAACTTTTGCGAGCGCCTGAAATATCAGTGTCTCGCTCTCACGCAGCGGGACGAGAAGTGACGATAGCCGTTACGATTAAATGATCCTGTCGCTACGTCTCGAGTCGAGGGCTTCGGGATGCTCGCGATCCGTGGAGATCCGAGCGTCGTGGCGGATTCGTCGCTTGGACAAGCGCGGAGAGAAATTTTACTCGTTGCTAAGTGTCAACTCTGGCAACTTCGTTCTCGTAGTTTTCGCGCTGTCGGGTCAAGGCGCTCGCGATTAAGACCGTAGAACTTGCCAGCTCGCGGAAAAACTGAAAGAAAGAAGAAGAGAGTCGGAACGAGAGAGAAAGAGAGATAGAGGAAGAGAGAAAGAAAATGGCGGAGCCGCGGCCTAAAACGGGAACGGATAGACTTTCCACCTGTTTACACTTCCAAAATATTTGACACTCGATTCGCTTTACCCTATCCTACTCTACCCTATCCTCTCGGTGTCGGCTGGCTCTCGAAAGTTCGCGACAAAAGGGTCAGATCGCGGCGGAGAGGAAAGGGCGGAGTCTCACCGCCGCGTCGGAAGTTCGCGACGTTGACGAGACGCCGCTGCGGAAAAACACATAAAAAGGGGACGCCGAAAAATCGGCGACGGCCGAAATGGAGAGAGGGGCGTGAGCCAGAACTGAAAGAAACTGGATGACAGATAACAAAGTTTCGTCCCTCTCTTTTTGCGTCGCTTCTGCTCGCCGGCTACGAGTCATCGCGCTTATCAAATCCTGAGGAGAAAATAAAAGCGGATTTCCTTACTGAGAACAAGCGGCGACGACATCGATGCGTGCCCGTGTACGAATGTGATGTTACGTTATACCTAATGTCGAATTTTGTTACGTTAAGATCAGAGAAAAACGATATTGAACCGACATTTAATGTTGATAACAACTTTTAGGAGCACGTAGGAAATGATCAAGCAAGATGGATCGTTTTTATGAGTTTCATTAAGACTCTGACGAGTCGTTATGTGGGACGGGTGAGAAGTCACGTTGAATTGGCGATGAGAAAAGAACAAGCGATCGTCGAGAGAGCGTCGTGCATGCCGGACGCGAAGCTTCAATTAATCGTGCATTCGAAACTGTTATTTAATAAAACTCCATTATATAAATCCACTCGGATCGCTCGAAATATATGTTGTTTTTGTTTTAATCAGTGAGATGAAAAATTTCGCGAAATTACGGAACAATTTAATCCTCTACTGCGATTCTGGAGTCACAGTCCAGTTTTATCATTATTTATCTTCAATGTGAATGTTGTTCTTGTCTTAACTGATGTGACGTAACAGTCACAATATGACTGTCTTTTTTTGATATGTTAGCAGCGATAGTGACTGTCCAACGTGACTTCAGAGTCACAAATTTATTTTGGGAAAATGAAAAATTGGAGAAGTAAAATTTCATCTTATATGTGTTGAGTACTTTAGTCTTAAACATCCTATATACATGACAAATTTTTTAAACTTGAAAAATTAATTTAGTTAAATACTCTTCACGTGTTCGTTCGCTCGCTCGCTTGCGCGCGCGTAAAGAGCCATGGTAACACGTGGGCGATAATCCAACTCGCGTTAAATGTGTATCATTCAGAGAAGTTGGTCCCTCAAAGATTAATGCGGCTGTGTCGAGTCTACGCGCCCGAGTTTTGCGACTGGGGCGCGTTCGGGGCGTTTAAACCGTGGTCGTTCGTCTAAGCTTCATCGATCTCGTGCCAGCGCCACGTGCAATTTTCAGTTTGAGAATTAGACGATCGCGAACGAGGCGTTAAACGCGCGACGGGAACCCGAATGTGACCGTCAGTCCCTCTAAATGGCAGTTCGGACGTCGACGTCGTTGGAGCGACACCCGACTCGAAATTTGGATCCTACTTTCGACCTCAATATTCCATCTCACACCTGTTTGGATACTCTGAAGCCTATGCCAAATTGTCTAGATTCCATTTAACTTACACTAAAAAAAAAAAGAGAAAAGAGCTCGTTGAAAAATTAATAAATGAATTATACAGGGTGTCCCGCCTGCCGTGTCGTCGCGCTCTGATATGCTCAACTACTTTAATTAATATCTCGAAATTTTACGTGGTTGTTTGAAAAATGGCCTATATAATTTTTGTTCACTTTTATGTGTTCTACTTATATTTTTCTTTTGGTCCGTCTTACGCGGGACACCCTGTATAACGTAATTATACACAAAACAGATAACTCTGATTGGGATCAATTTGATTAGGACTATATGATAAATTTCTAGTCGACCAGTTTTGTGGAAAAATCCTCGTTAGAATCTACAAGCGGCATTTTGTGTATTTTCCGCCACTTAGAGGTATTAAGAAGGATTTCAGTTTTCACGTGTATTATACATGCACTGCAGGATATACAAATTCTGTAGAATACACAGATGCTAGAAAGTTCAGCCCAAAGAGACTAAAATTTTGACTTGGCCGAAAGAAATTACATACGAGCGCACGAAGTTCGATAATATTAACACTTTATTCGTTACTCGCGAAACACTGTGAGCTCCGTTCGGGCGCACAGGCTGGTGTAGACTTGGTCTGTAAACCGCTTTGGAGTAACTTTGAATCGAGTTTCGGAAGGGTGAACGCGTCAATTCAACGTGCCTTTTCACCCGGCGAAAAGTTACGCGTGCTGCTTAATGGCGCCCTTTGGCACTCGCCGCTCCTGGATTATCGGCCGGCTTTTGAGCATCTACATAATTCACTGTCAGCACCTGTGTGCCAGATAAAGTCGCGCGCGAAACAACACACGAACCGTAACACAAAGCGGCGCAAAAGTGCCGGAACAGCGAAATCTCCGCGAGTATATCGATGTATAGAGAGACGTCCCGCGGAGAATTCCGACCGTTTTCTTTGCCCGTTCGACTGAGAGCGCAAAGTCGCGTGCGCCGGCAGTTTTTGCGAATCTCTTCGTACAGATTTTGGCGTAATAGCCATTTTCGCAATCGGGAGACTGGGATCATCTCGACGGTGCGTTATTAACTGGTCCTCGTGTCTCAAGCCTCCCTGAAATGACGATCTTTCAAAGTTCTTAATTTTCCCATTTCACCACTCGGCATTAACATTAGCTGGAAGTGTATCATGTGGGAGTTGCTCGGCGAATTTGCATTTCGTGCGAAGGCATGCACACGAAAATACGCACGTGCACGTGTGTATATATCCGCTTATGCGGCTTCTCTTTTTATAAGAGACGCGCTCGAACCGCCCGCTATGAATTACTCTCGACGGCGAGCGAGGTCTTAATTGAAAGGAGCGTTTCGCAGCATTTTGTGCACGATTCGTCTACTTTATGACATGTTATCTTTCATGCGGCGAATTCATTCAACTAACGTTTCGCCGCGACGGGAAAATTTTGTATCGGGTGAATTGGATCGAATTGGTCGTAATTATGTAAAAATAATCCAAGTCACACGATTATTATTTTTTAGTTTCGGTATTGTGGCCAAAATTATTCCTTCGTAAATGTAACAATAAATTTATCTTATTTTTTATTTTATTTGAGAGAAATATATGATGCCGTTAGAATCTGTCTAATTGGCATGACTCCAACCACCTTTGATTACTCTGACACGAAAATAATAATAGTAACGTACATAAAATTACTATTACTAACATTATTGTAGAATAAAACATAATTTTCTTGATTATTTATAAAAATTTATAGAAATTATTTCTCTATATGTGTGATACACTGAGAAAAAAATTTACTAAATTTCAAAAAACGTTTGTTTGGATAGCACTATGAAGATATTTGTTTAAATTAAGTAATTATTTTCTAAAATTAAGTAAAGAAGTTTTAAATGTAAATTTGTTCCTTTAATTTTAGAAAATAATTACTTAATTTAAACAAATATCTTCACAGTACTATTCAAACAAACGTTTTTTGAAATTTAGTAAATTTTTTTCTCAGTGTAGTTACAAATACTAAATTTTTTTCTCATTGAAGTAACGACCATTAATATGAGCCTTATTGATCGATTATATATACACTTTTTTTTTTTTCTTTTAACGACGAGAATTATACATTATTCGCGATCGCGGTAATCGATATTGACGCGCTTTCCTTTGCGCTTTTGACACACGAACAGTTGCAACAGTCATTTTGCGCGATCATTGCACAGGTTGCGCGAAATAAGTCACCATCGTGAGCGTATGCGGTATCAGGTCGACGGGTGTGCAGAATTTCCGAGATTATTCCGCGGGTAAACAGACTACTCGCCTCGGCGACGTTTCGAATGTGTTTTCCGACGTTGCACGGGCGGTATCAGCAGCGTCTACCCCGAGCGGGAGCGTAGCGCCCTGGCAAATGAATTATTTTACGTCTCAAGATACCAGCCCAGGTATTTCGAAAGCGACTACGGTGAGCGGGGAACGTGAGAGTCGTACAATTATTCGAGGTTAAAGGACGACGCTGATATATTGGGGCGAGGTCTCCCGAGGAAACTGTCATCTACAGCTAAGGCAACAGTCGCGCGAGAAGTTCTCGTGTGTCCTCGAGCTTCTGTCTCTCTCTTTCTCTCTCTCTCTTGCTCTCGCTTTCTCTCTTTTCGCTTCGGTTGTCTCGTCGGCTGACAATCGACGCTGTTTGAGTAATTGGACGCGATTTTATTCCCCTCTTTCATTTTTTCTCCTTTATTTATTTTTCCTTTTATCCTTCTTTACGTAGCTTCATGCAAATGCGTGCAAGACGATTTTCGCGCGATAATTACAAGAAAAACGTTTCATTACTACGTGAGAGGCGAGCTAATATTAAATTAAATGATACGAGTAAATACTATGGAATTAATGATAAACGAGCGACAAATTTTTCTTTTTTATAATTTGTCATTATTCTTAAACAAAGTTGGAAATTTTGATAGGATTTGGAGACTCGGAAAGAGCGAAAAAGGAGTTGTAAAACATAGTACTCGCGTGCACCGATAGAGAATTAAACTAGAAACAAGAAGAAGACGGTGCGCAGGTATAATATGAAACATGCGGACCAAGGAGCATTATTAGAGGCATAGATCATCGTTTGTGAGACTCAGTAAATTTTGGGTTTTCGGGTCAACCACGACACATGCGACCGATGTTCCGATAATTTTCTACGAGCGCCTCGAAGGCTCGGAATGTTTTGAAATCATTGATTGTTGTCATCACCGAATATACACGACAACGGTTGGTGACTGGAGTGACAAGACTTTGTTGTTTTTACTGACTGTTTTGTTTTTATCACGTAATCTCTCCTTGACCAAGCCATTGTGTCTCAAGCCGAAGAGCAACGAACATTTCGCGACGCGAACTGTGTACGTTATAACGTTAGATATCATTTCCGTCGTATGATTAAAATATTTCGCGGGATATTAAATCGGACTGTATCGTCGGTATCGCGTTAATTCACACATATTTCTTCGTCGAATCGTCGTATCTACGGGAGTGCCAGTGTCAGTGTCAGTGCCAGTGCCATGAGAGGGTATTCAGAGTACCACGACAGAGCAGCCAGGAGTTGGATCGGGAAACTAGGACAAAGGACTCGAGATCAGCGATACGTCATATATTTACAGGTGTGTCAGATCTGTTGTTTCTGATTTTAACGCGCGTTTAACAAACTTACCGCGAAGGAGATATTCGAGTCGAAATTTAGATCGATATTCATAGTCTCTTATTAACATTGTTAATCAATAAGCAATCAAAGCTTTATGAATCTCAGATCATTAGTCAATTTGCGCCAATTACGAGAAATATTCATCGAAACAGTTGATTAACGATTCGTGAATATGAATCTATTATTAATTATGCTTTCAAATCTCAATTTCAGATTGCAAATAATTTACACCTATGAATATCGGTCTTAGAATCTAGTATAAGCTCCGTACGGGAATCCTGATATTTGCGCGCGTGATATAATATTTCACATGTCCAATAATGCTCCTTGTGTTGCGCGTTTTATCTTGACATCTATTAACGTCTTTTTTCACTTTTGTTTGTTCTCGTTATTGTACTGAATTCAAATTGGAATTTGAATCTCTTAGTAAACAGCATTATTGGACACGTAACTGTTATCTTTGTTTTTACAGCTTCTTCCCTTTCAGCTCTTTTAAGAGCTACAAATCCCATCGAGACTTCCAGCAAGAAAGAGCTTATGAACAAAAGAACTTAGTTGTTTTATTCACCTATTTCTCTATTATCTCATATCATTCTGTAGTTCAGTAAAAGTTGTTGCATAATTGATATATCGTTAAGGCTCCTGGCTTCTCGCATTGTCTATCTCTTTTTAATAACGTCAGAAGCGAGAAAATGCATGCTAAAAATTCTTGCGAAATAAAAATATATATCCATAAAGTAATTTGCAATCGATTAAACAAATTTGTAAGATATTCCGTGCACTCTCCTTTTGCTCTAATAATCAATAATTTATCGTAAATTTATCTGAATAGAAATAGGCGAAGAAATAGGTTAAGAAGATGAATTGAATGTCACGTTAATTTACGACAAGTTATTGATTGGTGGAGCAAAAAGGAAGTGCACAGAATATTTTACAAATTTGTTTACCCGATTGCAAGTGTTACTTTATGGATATATACTTTTATTTTAACGTATTTTGCAAGAATTTTTAGCATGCATTTTCTCGTTTCTGACGTCATTAAAAAGAGATAGACAATACGAGGAGCCAGGAGTTTTAAAATCAAGAATAAAGATTAAACACCGATGGAATCAAAATCGTTGGAGCAAAATCGAATGTTAAGTAATTTTTGAATATAAATGCTTTTTCAAGCCTCAAACATTGAGGAAACAGCAATAAGTAATGTGTGTTATATATGTTGCTATATATATCGAGATTCTTCATTGATCTTGCAAGTTCGACAACGGAATTTGCAGAATTAATGTGGGGCCAAAATTTCGACTCGAGAACTGCTTCGTTATGTGTTCGCCAGCCGTTAATAATGATACTTTGATTTCTTCGTGTTTCTCTTGAATTTACAATTGAATGATTATTAGTTTCGAAATGAGACGTGCGTCTTTTAACCTTGAGCTCAGTGATATATATTTCATGATGAGTATTTTTCGAACTTTTAACGTTCGAACTTTCGCAGTCATAATTCACTCTTCGTATTTCCAATTAAACTGTATTTTTTTCCTGATCATTGAGAGTTTCCGTTACATTATGTTACATTACGTTCCTGCCGCGCATTTACTCTCGCGCTTATCTTTCGCTCTAAAAATAACGCGTTCTGTGTGGAGAGAACTAAATTAAAAAGAAAAATGATTAAAAATGCAAAGAGTTTGTCGTGGTGTTTGCGGGCTACATTATTACGCTTTTCTCGTGTCGAAAGTTTAATAGCCACAACGGCGTTTATAGTTTTATATATTGCACTTTAACAGTCGCGCAACAATAACGGATAACGTGACAAGATTTTGCTATTAACGTTTACAATAGTGTCGGGATTATACTGGTTGATCATAAATCTCACTGCTATTGTCGATACACCCCGAAAAATCCCCCTCCCACCTCTCCCCCCGTAAAAAACTCAGCTAGCATATTTGCGCGGGAAAGAATGATGGCCGCGAGTGATTGAACGCAATCGGCTGATAAGAAACGTTTGTACGTTGTGTATAAACGCTGCGCGTGTTTGTCGTGATCAAATTATGCAGATCGTCGAGAGCCTAAAACCGGTGTACGTTTGCCACAATAATTGCACTTTATCAAGATAGCGCGCATTACACGAGCGTGTATATTGACGCCAAATCAATGGGAATGGCGAAAAGGAGCAGAGCTTTACACAAATTGCGCGAACTTACGTATTAATAATGAAGCATTTTTTATTACGTTATACAGAGTATCGCGTAATTCGCGACCTTTCCAAGAGAGATTCTCTGAGTAATTTGGAGACAGTGATTTCTCCTTGACAAAAATATCGAGGCAGCTCGTTCCACCCGAGATTAATCGAAGAAAACAATTTCGTTATTCATTTATTGGTCGTTCAGAGCACAATTTGCGAGCAACTCCGTCTTTTCTTTGAATCGCTTGTACTTTCTTAAAGTAAATCAGTGAATAGTCACTGATATCAGTTATAAGTATAGCACTGAGCACTTTCAGTGCAAAACTTATAACTGCAAATCAGTGTATATTCACTGCTTTCAGTGATATTTCACTGATTCATTTTAAGAGAGTACATTTCGGAAACTACCGATGCTTTGAACTTTTCGTACCGAGAGGAAAAGTTAACTCTAAATTTTGCAGAGGACCTTTCCGTTGAATAAGACGAAGATCTCGAGCTCTTTTGCGTAATCGCGGGGATGTATTAAACTATTAAACGCGTATCCAATTTCGACGATATGTAATGATGAGGAAATGCGAGTACAGCTTGTTGCGCTAACTCAAGATTGAGGAGATAAATATAAAAGAGAGTAAACGTTAAGCGAAAGTAAACTCCTCCGCAAACTTGTATGCTTGACGAGGTTTTTGCTAATTGCGCCGGCAATCAGATCTGTTCAACTTCGTGGATTCGCGGATTTTGTACTACGAATTCGTCACGGATACGTCTTCGCTGTGATTCGTACACGCGCGCGAGAGAGAGATTGGACGACGATTTATGTGCATCGGTCAAAAGTCGTCCATTAAATTTACATTTCCTCCATTACACGTCGCTTCCCGAGCGCAAAAAAGCGTTTGCTCTCGCGTGAATTCTTTGCAAACGTAGTTGCACATCACCGACCATTATCCGCATGATCCCGGGGATATTCGCGAGGACAGCGAATGCAAAATAATCCAGAAATGGCCCCTCGAAGCTGCGACGGCCATTAGAACGAAAATATCGAGTCTCCCCAGTGCTCGCCGAAGAGTCTCTTCCTCTTTTTTCCTTTTTTCGCTCACTTCTCCCTTTTCTCTTTTTTCTGTTTTTTTGTTTCTTTTTTTATTTTCGCGAAACAACAAATGACTAATGACATTATGGGCGTTGCGGTAAGCACCGGAAACGGTAAAAACTGTATCGCGACTGCGCGCTCTCGCTCTCGGAATAAATTCTGAAATATTGTCTAACATTACGTGCTCTTCAGCGTGTCCGGCAGCAATTTATCTCGCGGAATTGCGGAGTCTGTTTCTTCGAGATGCATTATTCAAAAGTGCATTAAGGCGGAATAATAATTTTGTAATTAACACGGCGGGAGGCGCGCGAAGTTTTGTCATTCGGCACGGCGAAATTTCACTTCAGTCGGCACGTTTTTTGCGAGTTTTTGGCTATTTAATTTGACGCATCTGCGAGCATTCTGTGCTGCGCTGGATGAGCCGACGTGCTGGTAGAAAGATACACCAATTACGTTACGATTGAAATATTATTACGAAGAATATCAATTAAATCCTTGCTAGCGTCAAGTTTCGTGGCGATTTTCGTCGCGATTTTCGACGAGCGTTTTTTACAGGACGCACCCACGCTATTTTAAACTTCTGACAGAATTTTCATTCTGTCTGTACTCTCGTATCGAGGGATATGTCAGACCTTGTATCTCGTGAAAACTTCATCGCTCGCTTGTCTATCATAGCTTTTTTACCTTCATTTGTGAAACTTCTTAGCGTTAGTGCCGCTAATTTCACAAGATAAAAAGCGAATGTTCTAAGTGAATGTTCGGTGGTTAATATCCTCTCTCTCTCCCTCTCTTTTCCTCCCTCTCTCTCTCTGTATCTATGTCACATATACATACACACACACACACTCTCTCTCTCTCTCTCTCTCTCTCTCTCTCTCTCTCTCCCATGTATTGTGCGCGCAGCGTGTAACGACCTCACCGGCAATATAGTTATGTACAACACGAGTAAATGTGCCGAGATAAATTATCGTCTATTGTGCCGCCACCGCGGCAATTACTTTACGTATCACAGTAATTTACCTGAAGTTTATCAGCCACGTAAGGAACTAGGGTCAACTGACCAATAAGGTGCACACGGTATTTATCGTTGATCCTCTATCTCGTGTAACATGCAAGATTGACGATGAATAGTTGGGTCTCGTCGTCGTCTCTCGTCGCGGAACTCCCGATTGATGACGTCAGAAGCGAGAGAACGCGTATGTCTGAAGTTGTTGCGAAATGCGCTAAAATAAAAGGATATGTTCGTAAGGTGACTCTTGCGATCGATTGAGCACATTTGTAAAATGTTGCGATAAAACTCTCCTTCTGTTCTTACAATCAACAAATAACCGTAAAATTGACATTAACGTAACACGCGATCTTTTTCTTTAGCCTTTCTATCCTCGTGATTTTGTCACGCGAATTTCATGAATATTTTATGATTATTTCATAAATATTTCTTGTTAGAAAAAGGAAAGTTTACGGAATATTGTTCCAAAAATGCACTTGATCGATCACAAGTGTCATTTCATGGACACAATCTTTGATTTGGACGCATTCCGCAAGAATTTTGGGCTTACGTTTCCTCGCTCTTCTGACGTTATTAATCAAGATGGCGGCGGCACAGGAATTTTAAGACCGATGATTAGTTTAGTATCCCGCGTTTTACAGTGATTCAGGAGATAAGAAAATTAAGAAATTTCGCCGTTCAAACGATAAA